AGACACATAGATTCTTTGAACGTTAACGCGGCAACTGCTGTATTGCTACAGATGTTCCTAGGACATTAATAGGTAAACGGAGATTTGATCAGATGACTTTTCCTTTCTCCAAGTGGTGACAATAACAAGTAATTTACTTAATGCGAACGCCGATTTAAGTGAGATTGACCTCGTAGATAAATATTCATGTTTATGTTTTTTTATTTATTCCCCTTTTTTTCTCGACATAAAAAGAAAAAAAAAAAAACAGAATGAAATCGATTACCTTGACGATTAGTTTTGGAAACCGGAACGTTCACCGTGGACGCGGAATCGATATAGACAAGTGTACTCGGGATTATCCCAATTACTATTTACCTTCAAAATCACTGCTCTTATAGGCTTATTGATTTTGTTCACCTCAAAAGTTTGTATTGGCGGACCATTGAGGTCATAAACAAACTGACCCAGAAATATGTGAGTCGGTGATGAACCAAGCTTAAGCTCTCCGCCCTTAGTTTGTAAATGACTCGAGTCCAAAATGTTCGATCCCAGTTCGTTGACAGTGTCCTGCTCATTTATGTATCCTGGAATGTCCTCCTTGATTGTGTCAGCACCCTTATCCTTCACTTCCAGATCACCATCGATGAACCCCCAAACCTCAATTTCTTTAGGCGCACTAGTTGTGCCCATCGCAACTTTTTTGCTGATGTGATCATAGGTTACTGAGGTTACATACACTTGTCTGCTCAACAGAACAGCTAATTGTCCTTGCTGACCGGAAAAAGGCCAACATTGACCTACATGAGTATCCGGTTGAATGGCCGTAATCGGAGGTTTCCCTCTCGTGATACCATGACCAATTGTGGATGCCAATATCAATTTATACCATTGTGTTGGCCACTGTTCATAGGTTGGTGATGTCAACGGACTTATGATCTTGGCACCACCCGAAGAAAGTGCGAAGTCGGCTTTGTTCAACTTGTCTTGTGAGTACGTATATAACATTTCTTCAACGGCTCTTTGAACTTCTTGTCTTACCATGACGACCACGTTCTCGTTTGGAACCGCGTTTGATCGATACCTAGTCATCTCTTGATTAGTTGATGGAATCCTTTTTTGAACCTCGGCCGCGCACAAAGTTTTCACCTGATTGGCTACAACCGATTGAATCAATTCATCATTTTGACCAAGTTCATCATTGTCGCCATTTGTGTCTACTTTTGACGATTTTATGAGTACAAAGGCAATGTAAAGGAATATCAAAAAGCAAAATATCCCTAGTCTCATACGCCGACTTCCACGTTCAGTGGAAGCATTCGCATGTTCTTCATTCACGTTATTGCTTCGAAAATTGTTGCACGCTGCTCTAATGACGTAAAAATCTAAAATTTTGTTTTTGAGAGGTTCGACATAATTTACTTCTAATCTCGATAACCACCAAACCACTGTATTCCAAAAGTCCTCAATGGAACTCAGAACTCGTGGGATGTATCTGAATGTGTAACTTCCGCTTTCTTCTTGGTTTTGATCTTCACTTAAAGTATGTTCCGTATTTTCTTCGTTTCCAGGATTTGATCCTACTTCGTGATGTTCAGTATCGTCAATTAGGCCGGATGGTTCAGGTTGAATCCTTTGATCATTATCAAGCTTAATATTATCCGTGAATGCAATGGAATCGTCGTTAAAGGAAAAGGATTGATTGACAGATAGAAATGCTGACTGATATGCCGAAGAGGACCGCGAGGGAAGACCAGAAGAAATATCCGAATGTAATCGGCCTAATGATATTTCCGAAGTTATGAAGGGTGTGGAGCTGCATGATTCGCTGCGTCCTGACTCCGTTTCATAAAATGATGCATCCCTTGAAATGGATAAAATTGATGATTGTCGCGATTGACCAAAAGAAGAACCTTCAGAATGATTGATGACCATATTTGAATAATTCTCTTCAGAAGATATCAAAGAATTATCATCAATTGTTTCCGCAGCCTGTCCATTATTACCATTACCAGCATTCAAGTTTGGCAAAATAATACTGCGGCTTAAGTTTGATCGGGTTCGATTATTTAGCGTATGTTGTTGTACTGAAGGTAAAGAGGTTGAATATCCTGTTGCATTTGGAAGATCGAATTGTTGATTTATATCGGTTTGCAAATTTGTGTTATTGTTTGAAGAAAGCCGACTCGATTTTCGGCGAGTCGTTTGCGTCATAACCACTTGGGGAGAATAGCTTTTTGTTTTCCTTTGAGCCTTCATGTCGAGGTGACAAAATTACAAAGCTTCGAGAAGATACTCGCTTTTTAACGCGTTCGATGCTAGCGTTGATATGTCATACGGTCACAT